CCCCCCACCCCCTGAGGAAAGGAAATGCCAGAGGGACAGTATTATTGACTCGTTTCCCTCTCCACCATGAATATTAAGTGCAAGCAAGAATAATAAAGGAAAACTTAACACCTTTTATGTAAGTAAAATCTGGAAGTAAAAGGAAAAAAAGAAATGCTCTTTTTACATATATCAGCTGTTTATGTTAAATAAAATATTGTACTTGAGTCTGTTTTTGCAAACTAAATTCATTTCAATTTTGACAATAACTGAGCACGATATAAAAAAATGTATATTTGTTTGGTTTGATAATTAATCCTTTTAATTCTAATATTTGTAGTATAATGCAGGCTTACTGCCACATCATAACATCAGATTCTTTACGGCCACTGCAGTTAAGCAATGTTGACTCTGGTCAGTACCTTGATGGGTGACTGCTTGGGAATAGAGTACTAGGTGTTGTAAGCTTGGATGCATGGCTAGAATGGATAATGGCTCTGAATTGTTAATCAAAGAGCTGAGTTCCAATTCCAGTTGGGTTTATTATATTAACTTGTGTGCAAATATTCTTGGGAAAGGTAGGAATCCATTTCTTTTCACAAAAACAATTCTTACAAATATCTTCTGGTTTTAAATAACCTGCAATGTATTGATAAGCTGTAAAATAAAAAAAAAATGAATCAATCAGTATAATGCAATATTTCTTATAGCTTTATTGTTTCTTATAATATACTAAATAAATGAAGCTGTTGTGAAGGGTGATAATATTTTGGCTTATTTTTTTATTTTTTTTAAATATGATTGTTAGTTTCCTTTGTGATTTGTCTTTTACACATTTTGGCCTTGGAAAAAGTTTCTCCTAGTGTCCACGCCATTCAGAAATTTCAAATGACACTTTTGCTCTGATCTATGAAGACTGCTTATTCCCATTCCTTTACATGTGACACTTAGTGTCCTCCCTAGGGAATTTGATATATAGGTGCATCTAAAGAAAATGTGGAGAAAAGAAAAGTATCTCAAAATATTAGAATATCCCATTTCAATTTTGAGTGAAATCATTATTTATGTAGCTATAAATCCCATGAATCTCACATTTTGATGAAGTTCACACGACCACAATCATGGGTAAGACTGCTGACTCAACATTGTTATCAAAGTAACCAGGATTTCCATGACTCCTCAGCAGAATGCCCCCATGCCACACTGCATTGATACAATAATTCCTGCAAAATGACCTTGTAGCAGACATTCTAACTTTTTGTTAGACATGCACGTGTTAAAAACCCTGTCAGCAGCAACCAGTTTTCAGCTTTCGGGTTTGTGCTGAAAAGAGATTGCTGCTGTTAACTGAGTTTTCATTGCACGCATGTCTAGTGAAAAGGTTTAACATTTGCTACAGGCTTCAATCAAGTACTGACTGAATAAATGAATATACTTTTGGAAATGTTTCTGAATTATAAATCTTTTATTTACATTATTTGGATTGTTGTCATCTTTATTGCCATATTCACAATGTTTCAGCCATTGTACACTTCTTCAGGTGATTGGAATTTCAAACTGAACCTTTTATTTCATAGATTGTTCTAGTTCCACATACCATGCCTCTTCTGAGGACAACAGACTGGACAATGTAAATAATTACAATGCCTCATCTCGGAAATATAGACAGATATAAATCTTTTAAGATATATTCTAATGTTGAATTTTTTTTTTTTTTTTTAAAGTGAAATATTTTAAGCATATTTAAAAAAATTTTTTATATGTAATACATTTAGAATATACAAGTTTCACTTTTTAATTAAATTACAGAAAAAAGGGTTAACTTTTCCATGATATCCTAATTCTTTTGAAATGTACTGATATAACATTTGTAGTGTTGTGTACATTCTGAGCTATTTAGTAGCAGCAGCAGCATATAACCTCAGAAATTCAATTATCCTCTAAGATATTATTCATTTCACATTGTATATGTTTTATTTTTTAGCTGTAAACATGTATATTAAAGATGGCAAAGAAATTATATACTGACCTTTGTATTTAATTAAGGTGTCTGCTGACTGAATTCAATTTTGGAGTTTTATTTCACAGAAAATATATATATATATATATATATATACACACTCTGTCTTACACATTCCCATGCTGGTTTATTCCATTCACATTTTTTTGAAAGCCTCATCTTGAACATGTTCCACTCAAATTTATCCTGGCACATTTCCACTCCAAACTTTATTACTACTACTACTACTACTACTTCTTCTTTCCTGACTCTTTACCATCTCTTTGTAGCCTTGTTTCTTGTATCTATTCACATACTCGTTAATTAGGTTATACTTAATCCATATTTATAAACTTGTAAAATGAGAAAAACCTGCATGCGGAAATACAATCAGAAGACAAAATAAGACATCAGTGAGTCAGAAACTGTTGTTTTTTTTTTTTTTTTTTTTTTACTTATCTAAAATTAAGACATCATCACACCTCTAATTTCATTAGTTCTAAAAACAGAGCTAAAAACATCTAAGTATTCACAAATCTAGCTAGCATGGACGAAATGGGGGGGGGGCATACCACATAATAAAAGCTTTACTTTTTTAGCAATGAGAACATCCCCACCCAATTTGCTAATTTTTCTGAGCTTAAAGCTTAACTGATCATATAAAAAGTCAGAAGAAAGTCTCTTGAAGCAGACACAGCAGAGAGAGATCAAGTTACCACTTTCTTACTCCTACTGTTTGACCAGCACATTCCTTTTCACTCCTGTGACTGTAAAAATGTTCATTATTACTCAGTTGGTTGCTTTATCTTCCTTACATTTCTTTTCTTGATGAAAACTTTCATGCAAATATGCACATGCACCAATCTTTTCAATCTGGGCTAGAGTTATAAAAACAAAACATCAACGTTCATTTTGATAGAACTTAAAGCTCACAGTACACTCATTTTATCCTTCTAAATTCTTTATTTTATATCAACAACATACCCCCCCCTTTTTTGTATAGATTCTGTTATAAAATTGACTTTATTTATTTATTTTTTTTTTAAATTTCTATATTCCTTTTATCCTTTTTTTTTTTCTCCCAAACTATTTTTTCTTACTGCTTAAGTTTTTGATTGTCCAGGTTAATCACTGACCAGGCATATTTGGTTCAAGAAAGCCTAAATAATGAAAAAAAAACATCCATCCACCTGCTTACTCAGATGGAGGGAAAATGTAATGTTGTGGGGGTAGAATAAACAAAAATAATTTAAGTTTTAAAAAGAAAAAATCTAATAAACATTCACACAAGTTATTGGAAATATATTTGCTAGGGAAAGTCAAGTTCTGTAAGAAAAGCAGCAGGGGTGTGGTGGGGTATTGTTTCATGAGTTGATTAATTAGCACTTAGCAAGAATGTATGATTTCCTGATTTAAAAAAAAAAAATGTTACTTCCTCCAAAATCCTTAATTCTTCAATGAGAGTTTTCACTTTCACTCTATCTGCCACTAAAATGTCCCTGCTGGAGACAATAAAAGTAGTCAATACAGATCATGCATTGTCCTATTTTTCTCCTAGCAAAAAGATGGCTGATTTTAGTGTATTGACCACGGAAATGTATTGACAGCCATCAATACATTAGTTGATGGTGTTGTTGTTATGATGATCATCACACACACACACACACACACACACACACACACATAAATAAATTCAAATTTTAATAACAATCATTCATTGGATAGAAATCAACTCTGCTATCTTATGTGACAATTTTGAAATCGCTATATTTTCGTATAGTAGATTTTGTGCCCTTTTGGGAGAATCGGATTCCAAGAGCCTTTCTTAGCTTAGTAAATATTTTTCAGGAAATATCAGCTTCTAATTGGTCAATAAACACACAAGTGGGCATTGCAATCCACCCACACAATATATTTTTCCAGCATGTGACTAAGTCAAGTTTCCCACCAAAGCGCTCTGATCCTGTCACGTGATTACATTATCTATAAAAACAAACATGAGTTTGCTTCTTTCTCTCTTTCTTCTCTATTGTTGCTTAAAAATGTAGTCCCGGAGAATTATCGTCTTGACCTTGCAGTCAGACGTTAAAGAACATTACCAACATACACAAACATTCACCAAAATATGAATGTTCACACAATGTTAACTATCTATGTACTTTGTAAATGTTTTGTTTAATACATATGTTTGTTTATATATATTGGTTTTGTTTGTTTGTTGTCTTTATCTTCAGTTGGACTTAATCCAAGTCCAACATTTCTATTGTAGCTGGACCTTCTAGCAAGAAATATAAATGAACGTGTTTTCTTTGTCTTCACCGCCCCCGGTCCTCTACGATAATGGTGACCGCCAACGTAATTTTGCAAAGGAAAGCCAATAGTCAACATAATGGTCCACTACAGTGTCACTACATCAGCAATGATCAGTCACCTAATTACCTACAAGATGTTGTGAGAATGTCACATGTACACAAAACTAGTGATTAAAAGTATCCAGTTCCTTTTAGTACTTCTTGAGTTGTCTCAACCACTGACCATGACCCCGCCCTCCTCTCTTAATACAATGGGGAAGGTACAAGCATGGTAGAATTGGATTTTGCCTAATTTGTTTTTCCAGTTTCAAATTTTGAAAAATGAGCTTACAGGATTCAGATTTTTCACATGAACTCAGTCAGTAAGACCCTTCTTTTAAACTTTCTGTAGAATGATAAGCAAATATTTAATCAATCTTTGAAGATCAAAACTTAATCATTTTCAATTTCACTTTACATTGCTCCACTTGAGATCTCATATTTCCTATTTTGAATTGTCAATTTATAATTTTTACAGTGATAATTATTGCAATAATTTATGAGACCAATTTGATTTATTTATTGGAATCAATCAAATGAAAAAAAAAATTCTTATGTTCGAAGCTGACCCTTCGTAATCTTTTGTTAAAGGGACGCAACTCTTGAAATAATTAATCCCTTAACTGCCTTGATGTTATTTTTGTCTTTTTTTTTTTTTTTTTTTTTTGCAGCAATGAAATTGGATGAATTGATAAGTAGCAGCTATTCTGATACTCGTTGTCGCTGTTATTCATGCATCACTAACAGCCACGGTTATTTAATCATGGTTGCTCTTATGGAAGCAATGTACAGAGACCAAACACAGTAAGAAGTTCAAGTTTCTATTTTCAGATTTAAAAAAAAAAAAATTACAAGATCGCTGCATTTGTATAGAAATAATAGAAAAATAACTTTATACAAATTAAGGTTCGGATGTTCATAGATTCGCACAAAAATTACTTATTTTTTTAAAATTTTTTTTTAATGTATTTTGAATATATTTACATTTTTATTTTATCAAATTTAAACAGTAGAGGTTTTCATGAAAAGTTTAGTTATACTTAGCAATGTATATTAAAACAGGAAAATAGCAAATTATTTTTGACTATTTAAATTTGGTTAGTTAACAGCAGACAAAACAATAATGAATAAATATTATTTCTGACCTACTAAAGGCTGTAGATAGATGAAGCATTCATCTTAATTTCTGTTGCTTTTTCATCAAAGGAATTAAGACATTTAAAATTTATTACATTTAAGTGTAAGATAACTTGGTTATTAATTTTATTAGCTGAGAAATAATAGAATGACAATAATAAACACAAAATAGATGCATCTTTTTACATTGTTTGGGCTGTTGTTCTATCTTTATTTCGGCCATTGTATGCTCTGGCCTTCTTCAGGGGATATTTGTTTGAATTTTGAACTAAGCCCAGAATAGCCAATCTGTAGGTTGGCATTTCTGAAGATTGGTTTCAATGATGTTTCTGTAGACATTCTTACTATTGTTATGGCTGGCGCAACACAAGAAGAACCAGATTCGTAGAAATTAATTAAGTTGAAGAAAAGAGACTATATCTAGTAACGAAATGCGGATTTTATTTTACATATAATACAATATATTTTAGAATAATAGGAATGAGGTTTGAAACAAATATAAGTTAGGAAATGCTAACAAGTTACTAAGCATGCGAGAACCCAGAAAGTAGTTGGCTTAACATGTAACCCACTGTAGTTAAGATTAAGGTGACAGATGAGAATTTGTCACTAGTCCAAGGATTATATTATTTTATTCTTAAACATAGTTTGATTAATTCACATATATATAAAATAAGAGTTTGGTTAATAATATCAAGGATTTACCGATAGTCTTTTCTTTTCAAGGACTGTATGAATTTAGATTCTTTCGGTCGAAGCTTTGTTCTTCAATCGTCGTGGCAGCTGGAGGCAACTGACTAGTTGGTACGAACTCTTGTTTATATATGTTTTTTGGACCCTCTAGAACCCAGTAGAAGTTTCTAGAGACTTCTAAAAAGTTCCATTCTATTATTACAAAATCTGAACTGTTTGGTGAATGGGAGCTTTTCATATGGTAAAAAGGGCGTCTAGTAGCTACAGCTTTAAGTCATCAATTTAAGTTTAATTTTGTATTTTATAGTACAAGCGTAAAGAAGTAGGACAAAAATGGGGCCTCGTAACACTGTTTATTTCCTGAAATGGGCTGACATCTAGCCTTCGCATTTCTGGAGGAAATGGAACAGTTCTCAGTGACTTTATTGAGCAACCCAGGAATGCGAAGGTTACATGTCAGCCCATTTCAGGAAATAAACATGCAAAGAATGTCTACACAAACATCATTGAACCAACTTTCAGAAATGCTAACATAAAGATTGACTATTCTGGGCTTGGTTCAAAATTCAAACAAATATCACCTGAAGAAGGCTGGAGCATACAACAGCTGAAACATTGTGAATTTGACAAAGATGAGGACAACAATGTAAATAGTTATAATACCATTTGTAATGTTTGGGTGTAAATTGACTAAATTCCTTAGAGCTTACAATATTTTAATGAATACATTGATATTTGGCTGAATAATAATATTTTGGGGTTGTATACAATCATATATTATAGCCTAAGACAGCTTAGATCCTTGTGATATATTGCACAAAATTGTTTTCTGAGCCTGAGACTTTTAAAAGTACACATGATTTCTAGTGTTTAGGTAAGAAAGATAAGATCAAAGGCCAAATTTCAGATATTGCTGTCTATACTAGTACTTTGAAAATTGTTATGTCACCTTTTCATTTTTCAAACAAATTTGGAACTAAGCTCCATCTCTCAGACTATCTCTCTCATTGAAGAAATTCAAGATATTCATTAGTATTTATAGTGATCATATGTTGCCATTTCTCAATAATAAAGTTTGTTTGCATATAACCCCCACTTTTTTTCCTTATCTCCTTTATTTTAGAATTAATGGGACCCAGTCAACACAAAAGTTGTTCTCTGATGCAAAAAGGTTTGCTGATGATTTAATGCATCAGTGGGGCCAGAAAAGCAGTTGTAAAGAATATATCTTTATTTTATTCTCAAGGAATGACAAAGTGGTAAGTGCAATATTTAATATTTTCCAGTCATCTAGCAAAATCTTTAACTTCTACTTTCTTGAACTTAGAATCCCCCATGCAGTCCTTCATCCGAGTATTGCAAGTAACCTTCTACTACCCAAAATAGGTTTTAAATAACCTACAATGGGTTGATAAACCATAAAAAACAAATCAAATTACTTTCATAAATTTTAGAAAAAGCAGGTTCTTTTTTTTAAGTAAACTTTACAAAATATTGTTTTGTTGACTTAGCATAGTTTTGTACCAGGCACCCAGTGAGGAACAAACTCATTATTCAGTTGTATCTGCTTCCCTAATAAATTATGGAACTCCCTTTCGGCCACATACTTTCCAGCCAATTTTAATCTGCAAAAATTTAAATGCTATCAACTATTCTCCTGACTACTCTTTTCGTTCATTGCTAATGTTTCTATTCTTAATTCCTCCACACTCTGTAACTCCTTGCATTTCACTAGCTGTTTTGCTTTGATTGATGTGATATCGATTTAAAAAAGAAAAAAGTAAGTTTACTAATTATTTTCTCATCATTAAATGTAAATATTTTCAGAAAAATATAACCTTCATGAAAAAGATTTTTTTATAATTTTCCTCCATTCTTAAAGATTACTATAAAATTAAAAAAATTGTTACAGAACAAACTCATTAGATACATTTTCTTTGTGGATTTTTTTTTTTTTTCATTTTCTTTTCTTATATAAAAATTTGTATTGAAAACGTCTGCTGATTTTTCTAATGTTAAACTCGCCCACTTCAGCATTTTCTCTTTGTGTGAATTTGTTTCAGCTTTATACGTTGGCAGAAGAAAATGCAAACAAGATCCTCAATAATACCATGATAATGAAAGTAAACAGATATGTATACAAATATTTTAGTTATAAAGAAGGAATTGGAAAGGGGCTCCATAAAATGATCACATATTACAAGTGAGTAGGTTTTTCTTTTCTTTACTTATAAATTGTGAAGATAAAAATTAAACTTATTTAGGCTTAAAATGAACATGAAAAGGTTTTACAAAAATTCAATTGAAAACTATTTTAGTTTTCTCTCATAGTTTTCACAGAAATATACATGAGACACATAGTCCTGAAGATGACTTGTCACTATTCTTGAGACTTCACACTCTGTAAACATTTCAGCAAACACTGGTGCAATTTATTTTGTGTGGAAGAATTCTTTGACACATTTATCAATTTCATGCCACACCAGATGGAGATTCTGTAAAATACTAAATAGGAGACATTACTTTCAGGGTGACATATATGTGTTATATACACCTTTTTATTTTATTTTTTTTTTTCTTGTCTCTCTCATATTTAGTGATGGGGGTATATAGGGATTTGATATGACAAATAAAAAAATTGACTAAAGGTTTTGATTTATTGATGAGATTATTTGAATTTTCAATATGTGCTGAGCAGATATTAGGGGGTACATTGGGATGTCTGCTTTTTGTGTCTAGGATTAGGCTGTAAAGTTTTAGTATGGTTGGGTGGTATTCTATCAGTTTCACTCATGATTTCTCTTTGTTGGTGTTATAAAATAAAATAAGACATATCTCGGCTGATTTACAGGCAAATACTCAAGAGCGAGAACCGGATGTGAACGGGACAAAGCCCCGTCACAAAATGACCATTATCTTTCTTTACAAATGTTCTGGACACACGTGTTCCGGTCGAAAAATAATATTTAAAGTGCTCTATTTTTCGTCCAATAAAAATGCTTCCCTCCTAATTATACTCGCTTCGTTTCTCGAGCCTGTTAAGCCATAAAAAAACGCTATAAAAGGGGTCACACGGAAGTTCAACAGGCAGTCCACAGGTGGCTGCAAAACAGACCTGTCATGGTCAGGCCGAGCGATCAGCAGCAGGAGAGCATCAACCACCGTCAACATGTGTGAACTACTATGAGAGATCGATCTAGATCCGAAAGCCGACTTATGAACTTTACAACAAGGTAGCTGTCCCAAACCCACACGTTCCTGTTGAAATAAACCACGTAAATCTATTTCTGCTGTTGTTGTATTTTTTTCTTGTAACCATACGCTTGTCTATAACATTGGTAACTAAATTTATGATGGATTTATTAAATTTTTGTGTCTTGGTGATATTATGTTTTTGAATTTTCTAATATGTTAAATATCTTCATGGTAGGATCTCAGCTCAGCACAAATCAAAAATTTCTGGTGATCTCATCAATAGACTAAAATCCTTGGATATGACAAATTTAGATGTATAAAAATATACCTATTATTAAAACCATAAAATTTTTACAAAAACACTTAAAAAAAAAAAAAAAAAAAGGTCAAAAATCAACTTCCTTTTATCAATGGACAAAATTATAAGAATAAGTGGCTTTCACAATATTAAGTTTTAAGTTCTCAATTCCAAAAATTTCCTAAACATCAATTTTTTTCTCGGTCGGGCTGACATCTTTTTAGCATTCGCTTTTATTTCCATCCTTGTAATTATTTGAAGCAATTTATTCATATTTTTTCAACAGTACAGACAGTTTTAGATAAACTAAGGGTATTAACTCTAGCGTAACAAATCCTTTTGCATTTGTCTCCCTTACATCATAATTGTTCAAATGAAAGCTGAAGTCATTTTTGAAATTATTATAAAAACAAAAAACTTTTTTTAGAAACTGATTTTACGATTTATATAATCCATTTCGTTTTTGTTTTATTTAATGTAAACAAGATTTATCTGTGTCCGCTCTCTCTTTCCATATTTTATTTTTAAAACCACAGACTGAATAGACGGTTGGAAGCTTTACAATAATGGGACATTCCAGATAAGAAAATTATGTTATGCAAATTAAATTATTATTTAAATAAAGAAGCGTTACAATTAAATCCGTGTTTTTTTTTTTTATATAAAATATTTCTAAACTTTATTTGTTCTTATCTGCAAATTCTTCTATTTTCAGGGATATTCTTCTTCAAAGATTTAAAGATCCCGGGCCTCTACAGTCTTTAATCCCAAACCAAGTGCAATACAGTGAAATACAAGAAACAAAGTCACAGGCCAACAGTGGCAAATATAAACAATTCAGTTTACTGTTCAGCATTTGTTTCCAACTTTGTTCATGTCTTCTCATAACATTATTACAGATAAATAATTAATGTTTTCTCTTCCTTTTAGAGAGAAAAAAAATGAAATGATAAAGAAAGATATATCTTGGGCTATAAGAACCAATTTATAAGAGGATTAAAAATTAAACCAATTAGGGTTTCTTTTATTTCATCAAAATATATATTTTATATATCAACATAACATTGCTAATTTGGATCAAGTTATATAATAAGATTTAAACTGTTCATAAGAGATTAAATATTGTTGTTTAATGTAAAATTCTGTATTTAATTTTGTACAAGCAAAAGAAGTAATTGCTTATGAAGAATCAACAATTTACTTTTATACAAAATTATATCATTGTAAACATTAATAAATTGTTGCCAAAGAAGTTGTATATATGAATGTGGATAAATTTAAAAAATAATGCTTGTTTGTGTGTCTTCAAAATAAATCTAACAATTTTAGACAGCATATAAATATAGTGAAAGTTTTTATTGATTTATCATTTTCAGTTCTATTTTCAAAGTTCACTGATCAATTAAGATTTATAAACTATTGTACAGGTGAAAAAACCTAGAAAATCTGAATACAATTACCTGTATTTTGCCATTGTTTTTTTGTTTGTTAAATTACTAATTTTGGATAGACTTGTCAGCTGAGCAAACATTCTAATTACCACACATTTTGGAAAGGGCATAAGCTGTGTAAAAAGAAAAAAAAAATGAGCAGATATATAGAAAAGTTCTTTTTCTTTATTTTTTTTAAAAAGGTTGAATTTGTTTTTAGGGAATATATATATATATATATATATATTCTCTTGAATAATTAAAGTGATTTTATAACCTGAAAATGAAATGATATTTAAAATATAAATTAGTGAAGTTCCAAGAATTATTAAAATGATTTAATTCCTCCTTCCTTACATTTTTTTTCAGCCAATCCATTCTACAACCTTCTTCAGGTACAGAATCTGTAAGAAAAAAAAAAATTTTTTTTTTCTTTTTTTTTTGTACAGATTGGGGATAAAAAGCAACTCATGATTTTGAATTTTAACCATCTCTTTTGCGGTTTGTCACCAGCAAGATAGTCTCTCTTAACCAAAGATATCCCTCATCTTTGGTTAAGAGAGACTCTCCTGCTCCTTCCTTTATAGATTGTAAACCTGAAAAAGGCTGAACCAATTGGCGGGTGGGGGAATAACAATGATCAGAGTAGTTCATTTGTCTGAATATCTTTTTTTGGAATGAAAATGACTCTTCTCAATTATTGAAGATGCATTACATTTCTAAGACTGTCCCAGCAGATAAGTGATTTAGGGAAGCCAAAACAGACAATAAACATAAAATACTAGAGTAAGAAATCCTTTATTCACCTCAGAAAAAAAACAAAAAACAGAACACAACTTGTGTAAAACTCGCCCTTTTAATACAGCCACTTAAATTTTTCTTTGCGTCTCTAGATTTTCTATTGCTTACAGCTATATTAATATTTATTTAAAGTTATAAAAAAAAAAAAAAAACTATTGTAGCTTCTAGTGCATCATTTCTAAATGACGACACTGATTCTATTGTGATTTATTAGGCTTTTCTGGTTTAAAGAAACTAAAACATTTGGTTTGTAGAAAAGAAGAAAACTGTCTGTCTATATTCCTGAAATAAAATATTGTAATTATTTACATTGTTCAGACTGTTGTCCACATCTTTGTTGCCATAATCTGAGGTGGTGTTTGAAGGTGAACAAAAACTTGGAGAATTAAAGGGAGATAACTAATACTGAGACATCCGGAAGAGGCATGGCACGGCACACGAAACTAGAACAATCTACTCCAGTAGATGAAATAAAGGGTTCAGTTTGAAATTCCAATCACCTGAAGAAGGCTGAAACCTGAAACATCATGGATATGACAAAGATGTGGACAACAGTCTAAATACTGTAAATAAATCAAAAACTAGTAGTACCTGTGAACATGTAACCATTTGAATTTTCTGACAGATCATAATTCTCAAGTTCATGATTAAGTAAGCTCCTTGTATAAAATACCCTTGGAAATTCCCCGATTACATCATTAAATAATTGTGCTTAACAACTTTAAATAAAAACTGCAGTAAGTATGAGAATGTCAGTCATTATTTAAAAAGAAGTAAGAGGATACAAATGAACATTTTGTTTTGAAAGTGACAAGTTTTTCCATTTCACTGAAGCAGATGTTAAACACGTAACATCCTAATGACCACTAAAGGGATAGACAGAAACATTTTGTGCAAATATAGGGCAAAGTTGGATATCCACAAAGTAACTCATCCATAGTTAGAAACAAGCCCTGTCTGAACTGCCAAATAATATTATGGATATAGAAAATAATCACTTTTCATTGACTGAAAGCTTTTTTTGTGTGTGTGTGTGTTATTGTCATATTTCTAAGTTTAGATAAACTCTTTTACAGCTTTTCAAAGAGACATTTTTTTTTACTGTTAACAAATCATGCATTCAATAAAGAAACTAATAAATTGACCTCTTTATTGTTCTTACTGTTTTTTTTTTTTCATAGACACATTTTATTTTAAAGAAAATTATGGAAAAACAAATTGATAAACAAAATATAAAAAGAAAAAATCTGTGCAAAATTCAAGAAAAGAAATTACAAAACGAAATAAGTACAGAAAGTGGTTTGAATTATTTTCATGTTTTGGCTTGTCCCCCTCATTTCTTTTCAACATTTCACTTTTTTTTTTATTCTCTACACACAATCTGGTGTGGTATAATGGGTGGGGACATAGTCAGGCCATTATATAAAAAGCAGCACAATAAAAAAAAAAAAAAAACTTTTTTGTGGGTTTCATTTTAGTTAGGGAGATGATAATTTATTAAGTTGCTCTTAAAGTTTTTAACTTTGTAATCATGTTATTTTTCAATTGATAGAAATAACAAAGTTTGCATTTTTTTCTTTTAAAGGCATAGAACACAGATTACTTAAAGCCTCCAAATACTGATTGACTGATTCATTCATTCAGATTGCATAATTATCAAGTTTTAGACAAAATATTTTATGAAGGAAAAAAATTGTGTTAATATTATTTAAGCCTCAAATCCAATGTCAATTTCTTTGTGCTGTTTTCTATTGAATAACTAAATATTTCAGATTTATTTTTGTATCTCCATCATGCTCAAGGGCGGAAAATATATGTGGACTAGTTGGTGAGCTTGGTTCAAGTTCCAATTGAGACATTTTATGTTCACTTGGCACTAATGCCCATGGGAAAGGCATGAACCCATTTCTCCTCCTCTTCTGTGTTAAATAACAGAGCTAACTCTGGAGAAGGCAGTATGAAATCATTCCACTATCTTTCCTAGAAATGGTCATGCTAATTTTACAGTTTATAGATATATCTAAGAAAAAAGTACCTGTGGAGAGCCATGATCATCAAGGTTCTGACAAGACAGCAATTAAGAAGTGATGAAAAAAATATTATAGAAGAAAAGAAGAACCTCAACTCTGTCAGTATGCTAAATTACTCTTGTATTTTCCTTTTCTTATTTGACATCTGGAAAACAAATTTTGGTAAGGAAAGTAAGGGTGTGTTGGTGTGTATGTGTATGTATATATATATATATATATATATATATAAGAAAGGATTTTTTTTTATCCAACATTATTTCCTACTACTACAGATGTTATTTTAGAGTACTTTAAGGTGGATATTCATAAAGTAACATTTGGAGTTGTAGGAAATATGTGTGTGTGTGTGTATATATATTCTCTTTTTTTTTTTTTTTTTTTTTTTAAACAGCATAAAAAATTTAGTTTGTAAATAAAACAGAACAAGAAAAATGATGTTAACCTCAACAGTAGATAACATTTATTGCAGATTAATTTTAATATTGAACATAAATAGTTCCAATCTATAAAATCTACTTTACTCACCACAACAGATGGAATGTTTCTGCTGAACTGAGATTTGCTTTGGTTTTTCTCTCTTTCTTCCTTCCTTTTATGATTTTTCATTTTCTCCCAAACTTCTTTTTAGCTTTCAATTAGAAAACCAAAAAACAGGATTTTTTTTATACACAAATAAAAACAAAAAAATATTAAAAAAAGAAGAAAATGTCCAAACTAATTTTCAAAGTTTTCAATAATGTGATTTTTTTCTATATCAATATAACAAAAAAAAAAAAAACCAAAAAAAACAAGGATTTCACAAGAGGGAAAAAAAGTGAATAAAAAAAATTGTACAACTGCATGAAAAAATTCAAATTTATGTGAAATGCAATGTTAAAAAGTGTAAAAAGAGATATAAGAAAATAATATTTACATGTAGATGGACACTTAAGCTTTGCTATTTTTATCATAAAAAGGGTACAAAATAGAGGTCCAAACCAACTTCCTAATTGTTAAGCTATTTGCACAATAGGTTTCATCATTTGAAAAGAACTAAGAAAAATACTTATCCTAATTGTGATTGTCTTTTATATATTTTCAAAGTCAAATTGTGTTTGAATACAAATTTGCTATTTTGTATTTATAATTATGGGCCTTGGGTCTGCAAAGAATCCACATTTATCTCTTTATATGCTAAATGCTACAATTCACCAGAATGGAAAACAGATGACCAATTGCCATCCTTCAAAATGAGCCATTTGGTTACTGTACATAACTTTTAAACAAGACAATATACATTTTTCATGGGAAGCTAAACAAGTGTTCATTTGATTTTTTTTTTTTTATATTTAATTAGGAAAATTTCTTAAAATAGTTTTTTGAGTTTTTTTTTCTATCAATGTACGGACAGTGAGTGCTTTTTTTGTTAATAACCCAACAAAAGCTAATGTTCATTATTTTAAAGTATGGAAGCCTTTAAAAAATTATTTTACTTGCTAATTATAAAGCTCAATTTGTAGTGTTAGGTTGAGGTCAAATTTTAACAGTTTGCAAACATTTCTTCTTTTCTCCTGAATGTTCAGTACTGTATATTGTGTTTTAGTTGTGTTCAAGATCAATCAAGATGGCAGAATTTTGTAGCTTTACTCAAAAAAGGTTCATGGTGTCAAA